GTCTCGGAGAGGTGACCTTGGTTAAAACACATAGTGCCAAGAAGGTTAGCAAACATATTAAGAACAGTATGCCATATATGCCAGGTCCCTTGAAACAGCAAGGATGGACAGGCTCCCGGCACTGTATGTCCCCTATCAGGGATTGAGCCACAGCCTGTGCATGTGCCCTGATCAGGAATCAAACTGGCAACCTTTTGGTGCATGACACAATGCCCAACCAACTTAGCCACACTGGCTAGAGCATAAAGGGTCTTCTAGAAGAAAAAGAAATAAAACATATGAATAATAAAAATGGCAATAAATACATATCTATCAATAATTAAATCTAAAAAAAGAGAACCAATGTCATGGAAACATGGAACAGACTGACAAATCTTAGAGGGAAGAGAGGAGGGGTGAGATTAACCAAAGAATTTACATGCAAATACGCATAACCCATGGACACAGACCATAGGGTGGTAAAGGCCTGGGATGTGGCGGAACTGGAGTAGTGAAGGCCTGGGGGAGGCAGAAGCCTGGTGGAGAGGGAAAATGGGGGGTAATACTCTCAACAATAAAGATTTAAAATAAAGTAAAAAGAAAACAGTAAAAAATAGCAGGGACTCCGCGCCGCCACCGGCTGCCTGTCCAGGTCAGCACTTCCCAGGGGCTTACCCGAGAGCACTCAGAGCTGAGCTGTGGAGAACTTAATCACAAAGTGCCATAGACTTTTATGGATTAAAAAAAAACAAAAAGAGGAAGAGGACCACTGGCTGACTGTGGGTTCCCATCTCCCAACCCTCAGCCCCAGGGCGGGGCTCTGAGCCTCTCCGCTCAGGTCAGTGGGGGCAGGGTGAGTCAGCCTCCTGCCTTCTCCTCCTGCTGAGCGTGGCCTCACTAACCTGGACTCACCACCCTCCTTACTCAGCTCCTGGAGCTGCGGAGTCAGGGAGTGACAGTTCTGGGAACATGGCTGAGCTGCCCGTCCGGACCAACAGCAGCGAACCCTGCAGAGCTGGGGCTCTCCTGCCGGCCTGGAGCCACAGCCAGCATTCTGCAGTGTAATTGTCATCATAAAAACAGCGGGGTCTTTTTGGTTGCTCAAGAGCTGCCACGTTTGAATTCTCAAATTTCACGCAGAATAAAGTCCAGGTTAGGACATGTACATTTTATCAAACACGTGGGCAGCTCTGTCCGGTTATTCTCCATGCAAAGCAGACACTTCGAGTAAACAATGTCGTCTCTGAACAGCGACTGGGAAGATGCGCTCCAGCCCGCTCTCCCCGACCCTGCTCTTGTGAGCACTGTGAGGTGTGGACCAGAAGACTTACTCCGGTGTCCCTTCATGCCCTTGAGGCGCACACGGTCTTGTGCCTTCTAGTCATCTTCCCACCCAGTCAGGGGACCTGCCGCAGTTTATTACTTTACTCAAGGCCGGAATAGGTCACGTCCATTCTGACCCGAGTATGCAGGGTGAGGCAAAGTGGGTTTACAGTTATTTGTAAGGAAAATAATACAATAATTAATACATATTAATACAAGAATACGCTGTGTTTTGTGTACTCACAGCTGTAAGCCTCCTTTGCCGCATCCTGTATATCGCAGTTAAAACCACCCAAGGGGGTTGGGGGGCGGACTTGGCTCCTCGGTGTTAGGGTCTCACGCAGGGCTTCTGAGCTGAAAGCAGCCACAGGGCCCAGACCCAGCACCCACTGCGACCTCCAGGCAGAGCGGCCGGCAGCTGGCCTTGACCTCAGGCACGGGGAGCCCAGCTGTGCCCAGGTCCTGCCCGGTGCCTCTCTGGAATTCAATTCAGCTGCTCCTGCAGCACCCTGTGAGACAGGGCTGCTCTGCTCCCTTCCTGCCTCCCTCCCTCCTTCCATTTTCTCATTCCGTAAGAAAAGGAGAGAACATCAAACACTTTCTAAGCTCACACAGGGAGTGAATGAGAACTAAATTCAAGCTCATTCTGTATCTCTTCACAGTGGAGCCTTGACGACTTAGACTTTCCAGACACCAAGTACCAGGCCTGCACCACAGGCAGCAGGGCATCCCCCAGCACCCATCCTGCCCACACACGCATCCTGCCCACACACCCATCCTGCCCACACCCCCATACTGCCCACACACCCGTCCTACCACACACTCATACTGCCCACACACCCGTCCTACCACACACTCATACTGCCCACACACCCGTCCTACCACACACTCATACTGCCCACACACCCGTCCTACCACACACTCATACTGCCCACACACCCGTCCTACCACACACTCATACTGCCCACACACCCGTCCTACCACACACTCATACTGCCCACACACCCGTCCTACCACACACTCATACTGCCCACACACCCGTCCTACCACACACTCATACTGCCCACACACCCGTCCTACCACACACTCATACTGCCCACACACCCGTCCTACCACACACTCATACTGCCCACACACCCGTCCTACCACACACTCATACTGCCCACACACCCGTCCTACCACACACTCATACTGCCCACACACCCGTCCTACCACACACTCATACTGCCCACACACCCGTCCTACCACACACTCATACTGCCCACACACCCGTCCTACCACACACTCATACTGCCCACACACCCGTCCTACCACACACTCATACTGCCCACACACCCGTCCTACCACACACTCATACTGCCCACACACCCGTCCTACCACACACTCATACTGCCCACACACCCGTCCTACCACACACTCATACTGCCCACACACCCGTCCTACCACACACTCATACTGCCCACACACCCGTCCTACCACACACTCATACTGCCCACACACCCGTCCTACCACACACTCATACTGCCCACACACCCGTCCTACCACACACTCATACTGCCCACACACCCGTCCTACCACACACTCATACTGCCCACACACCCAGCCTACCCACACACCCATCATGCCCACACCCCCATCCTATGCACACACGCATCCTACCCACACACGCATCCTACCCACACACCCATCCTACCACACACCCATCCTGCCCACACACCCATTCTACCACACACCCATCCTACCACACACCCATACTGCCCACACACCCATA